TAGTCAATACACACCATGTACCGTACAGTTAGCGCTTGTTGACCAACTCCAAGTTAGATCAACATCGACTCAGCGGTTACTCCTTCCTCCGCGTCACTAACTCATTCCTCGTGGGTGACGCCTTGCAGGTCACCTACCACCTCTTTGTCTTACCCATCTGTCTTACCTTGTCTTTACCTCGTTGTTGTCTTGCAGTTTCCATTGGTGTCAATGTTATTTTTTGGTTGCAGCGTGATTATTTTTATGCTTTTTCAATTTCTTCTTTACTTCTTTACTTACCTGTAAGAATTTAGAAGCTAATCTCTGGCGAATTTGGCGAGGATGAGCAATATGAAGCAAGAGGGCATCTTGAAGAGCCTTCGAGCCCTCCAACAAAGCCTCGAAGCTCTTGGGGTTGAGCACAACAATGTGGGCGCGAAAATCGAAAGCAGCCTGAAAGGTGAGGTTTATAGAATGTCTTTACTTGCCTGATCTTCCTTGGTTACTGGAACCTTTTCCATTATCTGAGTTTATTATAGGACATTGTTGTTTGTTTTATTTCCTTTTTCCATGGTCATGTTATTTCCCTCATTTTACATGTTTACATCATGTCCACTAAATAAATAAATAAAATAAATCTATCGTGCCTCCAATCCTCCTCTATTATTTGCGCTTGGTACTGCAAGACAACTGAAAATGAGTTTGGCCCTTGAAATGACGCATGCAACCATTGTTTGAGGGAACTTGAAAAACTCTCATAAATCACTGTATGGACGGGTGGAGGGTAGCCGTTTATTTCTGCGACAGGAACGAATCGGGCTTCGACTCTCTTTGCTTTTCTTCTTGCTTTCGTTTTATGCATAACAGCGAAGGCATCTGCCTGCAGGAACTTAAAAAAGGGCATTATCGGTGAGGAGTGTCATGCACTTAGGCTCCGTTAAGAGGAGACTAAGTTAGCTCGTGTCCCGACAACGTGGTCATGTTTTTTTTTGCTCAGGAAAGCGGTAAAATTGCACAATGTGTGCACAGGTGATCATAAACTTGGGTAGAGTTGTCGAGGTTAACCACGTGGGATGTCTCCAACCTTTATCCCCTCGAAAAGACATTGAATAATGTTTAACCGTTCGTTTCGAGTCCGCGTAAAGTTGTTTATGCAAAGCGATATTCGTGTCATATTCAACTGCGCGACGGCGGTCGCGTGCGTGCTGCGACGGCGGCGCTTGACCGTTGTTGACAACAGTAGATTACGTGCCAGCGCTGTCGACACAACTCTAGCGCCGCCGTCGTGAACGCGTTGAACGGACGGCGGACGGACGGACGGACGGACGGTCGTCGAAGTCTGAAAGCAGCCTATCTCGTATGATTGTATCCATATGCTTGTTGCATGAGTCATTGACCGCAGTGATTGTCTTAAACTCGTCTCCGAACGTGTATTTGTGTCGAAACCGGTGGGTTTCCAAATTTTGCTAAATCACAGCCTGTTTTTCAGGGGCCAGTAAAGATGAAGCACCATTGCTCCGAGAAAGGCTTCGCCAAGTTACAGAAAGCGTGAACAGTATATCTGACAGCATTGAGGATATCATGGTACGGATCTACTTCTGACTGAACTAGGGGATCTTTTCGGTCAATACTGTTTCTCTATTGCGTCTGCAGATTCTGTTTTTACAGATGTTGATATCGGTAAGGTCTTACTTGGATAAGTTGGAAGCAGAAAAACAAGTGCACCAGGTAAGCTGTTAGCAACTTCTATCGTTTCATCCTCAGAGTAATTATCAGACATTCAGGGATATTCTCAAGTATTCCAGGCTCAACGACGCCGCCTTCGTGAAGAAAATGATTGGCTGCGCAATGAGCTGAGTTCGACCCAAAGCAAGCTTCAGGATTCTGAACAGGTCTCTTTTCTCCCAACAAGAAAAAGGGAAGAAAACATTCCCCCTGTAACATGTTTGTTTAGCGTGTGGCAACCTTGGAAGAAGAAAACGAACATCTCAAATTTATAAATTCCATCAAACATTTCGATGACGATATTGTGAGTCGCTAATTGCTCTCTTGTTATTGTTTACTTTCCTGAATGTCATTGTTTTTGCACTGTTTTTCAACAGCTCTTCTTATAGCAGAGCGACGTCAAATGCGCACCTTCCGAAGCCAGTGAACCTTTTACGAACGGCACCCATCAAGACCTTGGCTTTGGACCTGGAGACGAGGAGGATCTGCATTCTAGTGAGTTTCATGCATTCATGATAAGATTGAAGATTCCATTCTAGCCTTTAAGATTTCATTCTACCCTTTAAGAACATTTTTTAGGTTACTTTGCTCAGCCCACACCTCATTCGATGGTAGCTTCAGCTTCTGTGGGCTCCGAGACTCCAGCACGGCTTCGCACATTGCACAATCTGGTAAAATGTAGTTCACATCACTATCCTCTTTAATAATTGCTATGTGTGCGTTTTTGAAGAAGACGGGTATTTTTCTTAGGTAATCCAGTATGCGTCAGAAGGTCGTTATGAAGTCGCCGTTCCACTCTGCAAGCAGGCTCTCAAAGACCTCGAAAAAGCCAATGGTCATGACCATCCGGATGTCGCTACGATGCTAAACATTCTCGCACTTGTTTACAGGTGAGCATAATCGATCAACATCTTGCCAGAATCATCATCTTGTAAATTCGGCTTTTTAGAGACCAGAACAAGTACAAAGAAGCTGCTAATCTGTTGAATGACGCTCTAGCAATCAGGGAAAAATGTCTTGGAGAGAACCACCCTGCAGTGAGTTCTTTTTCGAATCCAGTTTTACTCCTCTTCCATCTTTATATGAAAGTGTGCGGTTTATTGTTCACCTATTGTTAGCTATTGTTTGTTAAGTGTACGGAGACAATGGTTATGTTTGTTACTAAAACGTTGCTGAGATTTAAGAAGACTGACTGACAGTTCATAAATCTTATCTTCTAGTTTTTAAAATGAGACAACACCCTAAAAACTCGAAAATAAGATTTATGAACTCTACATTTGTCAATATAGTCCGTTCACGCGGCTCCTCATCGTTCACGCGGCTCCTTTCCTTGTGTCATTAGGTTCAATTCTATAGATCACTTCACAAAAAAAACTGCTATCGTTTATGTCTCATTGCAGCGTCCTTTTTCAAGGTTTTCATCAGTTTATTCGACGATTGGCGATGTTCTCATTTTGGTTTTGTGTTTAGGTTGCAGCTACACTTAACAATTTGGCGGTCCTTTACGGAAAGCGTGGAAAGTTTAAGGACGCCGAGCCCCTGTGCAAGCGTGCTCTTGGGATTAGGGAAAAGGTATGTGTTGATCAATACATCCTCGTTAGAGCCATAGTTTTGTCATTACTGGTTTCACATTTTGAGATTACCTGTTTAATATTGAAATTGTTAGATAACTGGAGGATACTGTCTTTTCACGTGGATCTGCCCACACGTGCATATAATGTGTATCGGTGCTTTTGAGTGCATGTTTGCGATGTTATTTGCAGTAGGCTAAGCATCCTCGTTTTGTACATTACCATTTTTGAACATCTGTGATCCAGCCATGGTTCTTATCATGTGTGGAGGGTATAGCAAAGTAATATAGTTTTGGGGGTAGTAATTATGGTTAGTCATCGTGACATTCTGTGCATTGTAGTTCCCGCTGCCTGGTATCTGGCGATTGTTTTAGTGCTCTCTACAGTAAGATTCTATGCCGCGCAGGACCATCATATCGACCCTGTGCATGACAACATGAACAAAAAAATTATATTGGAAATGCTTCACACTTTCCACACTGACTTGTCGAATCTTTGTTTCGAAATGAGTATTTGGGACATATCTTTTTGAATGCTCGTGTATGTGCTTGCTAATGGAAATCTATAAATACAAATGAATAAGTGGGTACAGTTCATTTAATGCGGAGGCCTGCTCTTAAAAATTACAAAATTAACAACAAAATTATTGAACGCCCAATTTTTTCCTTCCCATAGCGAAGTCCTGTTGTTAGTGGATCTTAACAAAGCTCTGCTAGGAACACCTGGCATGGTCTTCTCTTTGGCTCGAACTCTTGCTGCACCGACGCTGGTTTGTGTTTGAAAGTGTTCATTGGGCTAAGCTTGTCTGTCTAAATCCTCGGTCAGTGAGGGAACCTGGATTCCCCAGAAAACCACCCTCACCCACTCATCTGTAACTTCAAATGTTGTAGACAGTAACTGTTGTTATTCAACGAATATTTGAATTTCTTTCGTCTTATCTCAATCTATTCAAAGACTAAAATGCTTTCATCTAGGTGCTCGGTCAGAATAATCCTGATGTAGCCAAGCAGCTGAATAATCTGGCTCTTCTGTGCCAAAATCAAGGTAAATATGAGGAAGCCGAGCAGTACTACAAGTGGGTAAAATCAGAATTTACTGTTTTGTCTCGGACAAGTTACTTTGGAGATGATCGAGTATCGTTTCAGGCGTGCACTGGGAATCTACGAAAACAAGTTGGGACCTGATGATCCGAATGTCGAAAAGACCAAAATTAATCTTGCCTCTGCGTATCTGAAACAGGGCAAATATAAGGTCAGATAATTCGAATTTTTCCCATTTTCCTTATTTTCAATAATCGTTCCGTTCCCTACTCATGGATCAGTTCATCACCCGTGCCCGTGTTGTTTTGTCTAGTCCATAGGGGTTTTCTCTATTTTGTTTCGCAATGAAAGAATTGCAGCTTTAAAAACGTGTAAACATGGTTTGGGTGGCTTCCTATATGTGCGGCCTCCGATATGGCTTTCCTTTATGGTATCTATCTGGGACTTTTAATATGCATTCATGTGCTGTCATATGGTTAGCTGTCATCAATGGGCTTTCGCTCTAATGGCGCGATGGGAGACGGGCGTTAGGAACGATTTTCGGTAATCGATTTGCCGCACGCGGCTGTCGCGGACCACTCATTCGCCGTTATTACAGCTCTAGCGTTNTTCATACAGCTCAATCGAAATGCGATCATTATTTTATGCATAATTCTACTATTAGTACTTTTGTTCTTGTATTTCTTACCTACTGCTGTACCCTGCTACATTTCTTCGCGCGCGACGCCCCTCTCACCGCGACGCGACCATTTCGTTCCTAACGCACCACACCCCTTTCACCCGTAGCAAATATGTTTCCCCATCCTGTTAGCTCTTCGTAGTTACGAGCCAGTGCATTGATTGCTTTTGCCCATTTCAATCCCAACTCCACTCTTTTCTGACTACTCTTCAGCGCATTTTCTTTCGTTCAAACAGATATTTTGCAAAGGGTTTCAAGCAGATGCTTCTCTATTTCAAATACCTTTTTCAGGAAGCGGAAGAGCTGTACAAGCAGATTCTGACTCGAGCACACGAACGCGAATTCGGCAAGGTATGTGATAATCGTATTCCTCTTATCCCTGCAGCTACCGGTGAAAACTTATGGCGCTTGTACTAACTATTTTTCAGGTCGGGGAGGACAACAAACCAATTTGGCAGATTGCTGAAGAGCGTGAGGAAATCAAGCAGAAGGGAGGAGCTGATACCGGCCCAATCGCCTACCACGATCACGACGGTTGGCACAAGGCTGCCAAGGTTGACAGGTGAGTGTTCAGACGAAGTTCACTGGTTTTCTAGAGGCGTGCCTAGCATAAATACTGACTTTATTCTGATTGTTCAGCAATTCAACGGTGACGACAGCGCTTAAGAATCTGGGTGCTCTTTATCGATGTCAAGGAAAATATGAAGCCGCCGAGACATTGGAATATGTTGCTTTGGGAGCTAAGAAGCAGGTAAGTTTGTCTGGAAGCAGAAATACACCACTTTGAAATAGTTTCTATTCGATCCATCTGTGAGCCTTTCTTCTTTCCGATGAATCTAGGTGATACCTTTGTCTTGCTCTAGCTATGTATTATTAAATGTTGGCGCTAACGCGGTTATAACTCCTAGCCAGTGAACATTCTGCGTTGGCCGCTTTTTCTACTTCCAAACTCGTATGCGTATCGTCTCTTCACAAAGAAGTATGTCATGAAGAATTGTGTGCCGTACGCAGAAAGTTTGCTGGCTATGTTGTAGGCGGGGAGACGGGGGGCGGTAGGAGCTGTTTCGTGTAATCGATCCGCCGCACGCGGCTGTCGCGGACCATTCGGCCTCACTGTAACAGTTCCAGCGTTCCTCATACAGCCCAATCGCTACACGTTTACTGCTCTTGGCATGTTTCTGCTGTTAGTTTTTTCGTTTCTGTATTTCCTACTTGCTGCTGCATTCTGCTACATTGCTTCGCGTGCGACGTCTTTCTCGCCGTGACGCGGCAATTTTGTTCCTACTGCGCCACACCCTTATAGGCGCAGTACGCAGCGCAGCACGGGCAAATGAATAATGTACTCGGATGTAGTACGCGACTTCAGGTCTGTTTTGTCAGATGGCAACTGTTGTATCGTATTTGTAGTGTAGTGGTTGCGCCACTTAACTAAAAATTCGATGCCATTGAAGCCAATCGTTTTGTGTTGTGTAGGGTAGTTTATCAGAGTTGGTCATATTAGCTGGCAGGCAGATCCTTGTTTCGTTGTTATAAGTTGGTTTCTTTTGTTGAGCATGATTTCCCGGGATCCATTTGGTAAGTGCTCACCGAAGGTGTTATGACCGCTCTGGTTGAATTATTGTCTGTCTCACAGCATGAGCAGTTCATAGAAGCGACTCAGGCAAAGTGTGGGAACTGAAAAAGTTGAATGATTTTTCTATGTACGCGAGTAATCTTCGTTTGGTAAAACATGGTGAATGAGTTTGACCCACCCTTTTCTTGGAATTCAACAGTCCTAGTGAGGCAGACTATAGATTCGCATTTGTCGGGAATGCCCGCTTGATAACAGAATGTGCTCAATGTTGCATGTCGTTTTTTCTTCAAACCGCAGTTTCTTCATTTTGCTTTATACTGCGCAAAAATCTGAAATTACGCGCGCGCGACACCGTCATTTCACTCCTGCTCAATCGATGCAACCAATTATTGATTAGCCGCGTGCAATGGCGACGTCGCACGGCGTAAGCGTGACCGTTCTGTGTTGTGATGTGTGTCGCTTTACAGCAGGAGCCGTCTATACGATCCGCAGACGATATCATGACTTCGTCGCAAAGACCCCGCATGACAACAAGCCATTCGTCGTCGCGTCTGAAGTCAAGGCTGATGAACGCCCTTGGTTGCAATCAATAATCATCCTGGGCATGGCCATCACCAGCTTCACGGGTCACCTGTCTCCTATCTCGCTTCTGTGCCTGCTGTCAGTAATTCTTCTTAAAGTACTACCATTATCATTTATGTTTTATCATTGATTTTTTATCATTTATGTTTTATCAATGTTTTTTCATTTATGTTTTATCATTAATATTTTATAATTTATGTTTTATCATTAATGTTTTATCATTTATGTCCTGTGAATTTATGCCGGTTTCTTTTCAGTGCCTGTGATTATTGATAATGATGTGATGTGACCAACATTTTGCATGTTTGAATAAAAATATTTAAATATAACCAATAAAGCAATCATCTTTGAGTATTCCCTGTCCGTTGCGAAACTACGGATATTTCCTCCAAATGAGTTCAATCCAGGCCAATTTTGTAACTTTTTTTTCCGAAAAATCATTGCCTACTAATCAGCAGTAGGGTTGATTAAGAGTATGTTTGTACGAGTAAGAGTTGTAAGGGTTTGATAGTAATGGTAAGAATTTCAATAGTATGACTAGCAAAGCCAGACAACAAAGCCAGGTCGAACTCAGATAGCCCAGAGGGGAACAGACGAGAACAACCGGCTAAAAAATGGGAGGGTTAATTTCCGAAGGAACTTGAACTTCTACCACCTTCAGGAACACCAACATTCCTTAAACATCCTGCATGACTGGTAAGTCTCTACAATAGTATCACAGACACGGCTTCATTTTCTCAACTCTGATTATCTCCATAGACTTGATTTATATGTTACAACAAAAGAGAGTAGTTAGCGGGCAATTTTCGGCACCGGACGGAACTCGAACTTTCTCCCATGCTTTCAAAGCACCACTGTGCTCACCAGTTCACGTGTGAGTGTTCCAAATCTATAGCAAATATATAGATGTAATAAGAAGGTAGGAATGGTCTCGAGTACGGTGCCCGAACGGAAAGAAACGGGTTCAAGTTTCACCCAAGCAAGGTAATGCTCCTGATTCTGCACTCTTATGGTGAACACTGATGGATTCTCAGACCCGAAAACTTAGCGAAGGGTTTAATCCGAGCATGTACATACTTGCCACTAAACGGGATCCACCCGTTTTCAGCAAAGTTGGTGGTATGGGCTTCCGCACCACGTGACAATGCCTTTATAGAGGTTGACGGAGACTTTTTACAAGTTCGCGAGTCATGGACAAAACCTCGGCCTCGGACGGGACTCTAAGCCGTACTTGTGCTATCCGGGCACCATGCTTATCCCTTAAGCTACCGAAACCTCCCTTGACCTCGCCTTCTTGAACACTTTTATATAGCCATAGTTTATCAGCACTGACATGTACATCATGGTGAGCCGGTCAGCTTATATAAGTATCAAACCATTAGGCTGAAAAGTTTTTAGTTCAACGAGTTGCTGGGAGAGGTGATTCTTTGAAAAGAGCAGTGAAAGTATTTTGGCCATGCATCAGACTTGGAATCTTTGCGGGAGTCTTCAAGGAAATATCTTTGAAGGTTCGATTAAATGATGGCTTTGGTTGGTGAGGTTCAGAAAGGGATCCAGTTTTACCTGGACCACGGTTTTACGATTGCTTGCCGGCTTCGTTCAAGAATAGGATAGCTACCGGCTTTCATTCGTGCTGCACCACCCCTTTCGTCGTTGAACATTACCGTTCAAGAGGCCTCAGGCACCTGACCACCATGCAGAATCGAGGAGGCATTAGGGAGTATTTGAATAATACTCTAATTTGAGATGACCAAACAACGTTTATATAAAGGATCCCTTCAGCCCAGAAGGATACGGTGCCAAACAAAAGAGTAATAGAAACCTTGGTTAGCCTAAATGGGGCTAGATCCAGCATCTACTCTTCAGGCCACTCTTTGGAGCTCGCCACTCATCATGAACCGAAACCATTCGGAATAACCGAGAACTGTCAAAGGCCTCTACGAAACTGTCCAACTTCGATATCAGCACGGCTCACTCGATGCTCTTCGAAATACCTTATACCATTGTAAATACGCTGATTAAACGTATATTCAACATTATCCGAGCTTTCCAAATACGAGAAGGTTTAGTGGCAGTAATGGACTCGAAAATTCAGAATCAAAACTTTCCCGAGCATTCTACTTTTCGATAATGACTACCTACTGGTGATGATGAAAGTAAATCTGCCTGGTATTGTGTAAAGCTACCCACGGTTGCGGTCAACATTCGCGTAATAACAGCAAATACGAGGAGCTCTCTCATCTCTCATGTCGCATACTGGACAGCTCCAACCTCCCGTCACATATACGACGCATTGGCAAGAGGCCTCGGGCAAGGAGGATAGAGGTTGCTACTCGAGCCAGAATTTTGTGGATTGCTACTGTGTATAGACATAGCAGCAGTAGCCTAGCTTTCTCAAAACGTAGGGGAGCCATGCACTAAGAGGGTTTGAAGGCAGGTGCACGATAATTTTGGGGTATTAGTTTCCGAAGATTAGTGGCAGTGATAGTCTAGAATGGTACAAAAGAGGTGAAGAGAACGCGGAAGTCAGTGTTTTCAGTGAAATATAAAGCTTTGAAAAAGAAGTAGAATTAGAGGTTGGCCAAAAATGTGAAAAAGGAGAGTGGTGATTGGA